TGGTGCAGTGGGGTTGTGGCTTCAGAGCATCAGTCCAAGAGCACTGAATGCTCCCCGGTCTGTTAGGGATGCTGCAGGAATTAGTGAGGGAAACGGTGATGACGTTTCCTGGGTTATCTGGTGCCTGCGATACCTCCTGCAGCAACCAGTAACTCCCTGAGCTCAGGGGAAGACATATGGGGGAGGTGGAACAGGAGGAGGGGACTGATTATAGGATTTGATATCATCACCCACGTTTTCCTGCTTTTCCGCTCATCCTTATATCCCTCCACTCATCCCTATGGATCTCCAGCCTTTGCCATCCCTCCCCCAATGCAGCAAGACACCCGAGACGCCCGGTAACCCAGCTCTGGCATTCGAAACCTCAGCTGAAACCCAAGCCAGCCCTTTGCTGCTCCTGAATCATTCATACTGGGACCGGCAGGAGCCCCCGCCATCCCCGGACACCCCAGCTGAATCCTTGTGGGAGGACGGCCGTGGGATCGGGGTTGCTCCAGTTCCCGGCTAAAGAAACGAGCTCAAGCAAAGATTTAGATAAGAGGCTTGGGGCAGCTCAGCCTCCCAGGGAGCTGGAGCAGGGAAAAGCTTTGCTGTCATATTTGGGGCTTTTACGTACACTTTTGTGCTGGATGGGGGAGAGAAAGCCGGCCCAGGAAGCTGCAGCCATGTGGATGAGCCCAAATTGTCCCCAACATCCCAGTGTCTCTGCACCAGACAGGCTCTCGGGGGCTTTCGAGCCGTCACCGAGCAAGGCAGGTGCTGCTGCATTTCTGGAAGTTATTTTTAAAAAGGGGACAGGTGACACACGGATCCATTTTCTGGTCTTTGCTCCGCACCAGTGTGCGTTTTCACAGGAGAAGTGATTTCTTTCCAGCTTCCCCCATCTCTCCATGCCTCTCCTCTCCGGTAGCTACAGGCAAGAGTAATTAAATATAGGAGAAACCAGCTGCTGCTCAATGAAGAGAAATGCTCTCTGCAGACTGAGGAAGCTGCCCGCTGGCCCTGCCACTCTCCTGTCCCCAAACCAAGGGAAAAAAAACATCAGCAAAGGATGAGGCAACCACCCTAGAAGTGTTTTTTGGTTTACTGAGCATCCAGTAACAGAGAAAAGGCACCAGTATAGGGCAGGGAGCATCTCACTGCTGCAAGAGGCTGCGGATGTCCACGAAGGGTAGGGACAAACAGCTGCTCATCCAGAGCTCCCACCATGAGGTTGTTTCTGGCAGGTCTGGAGGTCCTCCCACCTGCACAAAAAGGTATAAAGGACCAGTTACTCCCATGCTCTGCACCAGGATAACAGCAAAGGATGCAAAGAGTCTATGTTAATCACATCCCAAAGCCTTGCAGACGAGCTCAACTCTTCTCCCTATCCAACTTGGTCACTTTCATCCAGCAAATACAATTTCTCTGAGCATGTGGGGAAAAAAAACCACTTCTGAGCTTTTCGGACATGAGCCACTTGGCAGAAGACGGCCCTTCGGCAGCTCGCGCTGGGTTTGGTGCAAGTCCCGTGGCAAAGCCGCACAGGGGATGTGCCGAGGGCCCCG